ATATAAGTTCTAATCTTATATAATTAGAATACCTCATTAAAATTCCCTATAATTAAAATATAAATTATGTTTCATATATATTTTACAATAATTCGTTAAAATACGCTAGAATTCTATGCAATTTTATGATTATAAATATTAATTTATCTATGTTATATATACCAACAATTATGTCCGTTCTGGAAGTATTGGCTGTTACTGTGCCAGTGTTATTAACAGTAGCCTTTGTAACAATAGCTGAGAGAAAAACTATGGCTAGTATGCAAAGAAGATTAGGGCCTAATGCAGTAGGTTGATATGGTCTACTTCAAGCATTTGCTGATGCTCTTAAACTTTTATTAAAAGAATATGTTTCTCCTACGCAAGCAAACATAGTACTATTTTTTCTTGGTCCTATTATTACATTAATTTTTTCACTATTAGGGTATGCTGTTGTACCCTACGGTCCTGGTTTAGTGTTACTAGATTACAATCTAGGTATACTATATATGTTAGCTGTGTCTTCACTAGCTACATATGGTATATTACTAGCAGGATGATCCGCTAATTCTAAGTACGCATTCTTAGGGTCAAAATGGCCCGTTAAAGGCGCGAGTCTTTATTTAAAACAAACTATAAGCGAGAAATTCAGTAAGCAATACTTATTGCTTACTTTAATAGGTACTTTATCTGTAAGTCCTTTCAAATGAGGCTCTAAAGTAAAAATTCTATTAAAGATGAACAACCCGCAAGTAACCAAAACGTTTAACTCGTTAGTAGGAACTTCAGAGGCCATACGTTTGTTATCTATACTATTTTTTAAAGTAAAAAAAAGAGGTTTTAGGTTTTATACAACCAAAGTTAAGCATAATACTCCTGAGATAACAGATAATAAAAAATGAAATCAATGGTTAGCTGGCCTAATAGACGGAGATGGTAGTTTTTACTTAACTAAAAAAGGGTATGCTAGTCTAGAAATTACTATGGATATAAGAGATGAACACGCACTACAGATAATTAAAAATGTTTACGGTGGATCCCTAAAACTTGTATCCGGTGCAAAAGCATTAAGATATACTTTACGTCATAAAGAAGGTTTTTTAGCATTAGTTAAGGATGTAAATGGGGAGATTCGTAATTCTTACAGATTAATGCAATTAAATAAAATTTGCTTAAAGTACGAAATATCTCTTATTTATACTGATAAATTAACATACAACAATGGCTGATTATCAGGGTTTTTTGATGCTGATGGTAGCGTAACCTTAAATAGTCATAATGGACAGTTAGCTATTACTCTAACCCAAAAAACGAGTGAAATCTTACAACCCTTACTAGATATATATGGAGGTTCTATATATATAGATAGAACTTCTAATAATTTTAAATGATATATCTCTGATAAAAAAGATATTATAAAACTTATTAGTTATTTTAAACAATATCCCCCCAAATCTTTAAAAAAGAACAGATTACATTTAATACCCAGATGTTACGAGCTAAAAGAAATGGGAGCCCATAAAGCTTTAGAAGAAACCAACCATTTATTAGCTAAAAGTTGGTTAATTTTTAAAGCTAAATGAGACAAATTTGAAAACTAACTAGTTTAAAAACTTATTAAAAGTTCTATCTATATATTTAATACCAAGAGTGTAGATAAAGATATGGTCCAAAGAACATTGTCATTACACATGTTCTATTGCATTAAGAAGTACAGCTCAATTAATCAGTTATGAATTAATCTTAAGCTCTGCTATACTATTAGTAGTATTATTAGCAGGTAGTTTAGATATAACTGTAATTATAGAAGCTCAAAGAGCTATTTGATATGTGGTACCTTTATTTCCTATATTTATTATATTCTTTATAGGATCTATTGCAGAAACAAATAGAGCACCGTTCGATCTGGCAGAGGCTAAAGACTTAAATATTAAAAATCATCTGTTAATATCTAATTCATTTTTATATATATCAAAATGTAGTTTTCCTAATAAACATATATACAATACGAAAAAAAAAATAGCTCTAAAGGTAAATATTCATTCACTTGACCCTAAAGCTAATTATAGTAGTAATTGTAGCAATAACAATTTGCACCCTTATTGAATAACTGGGTTTTCAGATGATGAAAGTAGTTTTAGTGCTATAATGGTAAAATCTAGTTTATATAAATTAGGTTGAAGATTACAGCCTCAATTTCAAATAAAATTACATAATAGAGACTATTTAGTTTTAGAATCTATGAAAAATTCGTTTGGTGTAGGATCTATTAATAAAGATGGAAACGCCTTAGCTTATACAGTTAAGAGACCCAAATAATTATTGGATGTAATTATACCGCATTTTGATAACTATCCTTTAACTCAAAAAAAAATCTGGACTATCTATTATTTAAAGAGATTGTTATTATGATGAATAATAAAGAACATTTAAATAAGGAAGGATATAAGAGATATACTTCTTTTAGTAAATATATCTAAATATTTAAATTGTGGAAGAGTTGGTGTTAGAAGTACTAAATCAGCGGGAGACTTATTAGTTTTTAGTTGGATGTACTAAGTCAAATAATAATTCCCTTTTTAGATAAATATCCATTCCATACTGTAATAATTAAAGATTATTCAGATTGAAAGCTTGCATGAGAGTTAATTAAAAAAGGAGAACACTTAACAAAACAGGGTGCAGATAAAAATAAAAATCATAAAAAAGGTATGAATAGACAAAGAAAACATTTATGAACAATGATTTAGCAGATGATAGTTTTTATTAGTTCTAAAGTAATTCTCAAAGATTTGGCCTCTTTAAATATCGCTATATGCTGGAAACTCCTAAAACTTTACATAGCTTTAACTAATTTTATTCAACATTATTGTAATGCTGTATATATATAGAGTAGTGTTAAATTTGTAAAAAATGTTACAATGGATAATCAGCAGGAAACCAAATTAATTGAATTATGAGTAGGATCCTCAGAGACTACACGCGATAATACAATTATATAGTTGTATATGATATAGTCCATATATATATAAATATATCTTTTAAATAAAATTAAACCAATTCCAGATTAAGAAACCTCACAGCAGCAATGCTAATTTTAGCTTTATATCACGTAGATGTTATTCTACGTCGAGTTGCTCTAAAGTGGACATTACAACACCTATCTTAAATATAACATATTTTAAAGATAAAGATTGCATATTTTCTAAGCGTTAGCTTATATAAAAAAAAGGAGGTATATGTGTCTTTTTAAATATAGTTGATGGAAGTCAATACATAGGTAGTACAAAATATTAATATTTGAGATTAAATGAGCATTTACCCTATAGAAAATAAAATTAATCTTTATAGGCTATATCTAAGTATGGTTTAGATAACTTTTATTTTTGTGTCTATGAATACTTTATTTATGTAGATATA